TCAATGGAGGTATATAGAGCTTACAAGACTTTTGAAAAATCAAAAACTACTTCTGAGACTGAGAAATTTTTACTTTGTTTGACAAAAGAGGTTTTAGAGGTAGTTATCGTTGATAGCTTTTCTAGAAAGTTCTATCAAACGGGCCTTTAATCTCTTTTACTTTCTAACTTTTCATTAGTTAATTTAGTTATACTCTATTTTCATTGATGGAAGGTTAAACCTCAAATCCTTGTGATTTTTGTTTCACTAGGCAGAGTGAATGTGCGTTGCACGTTATTTTAAAATACTTTATAAATGTCGTGAAAGTAATATTTGACCCTTCATTTACGATTTTGATATAAATATAAGATAAATGCAAGTAACTGAAACTAAATGTTAATTATTATACAAGCACATAAATAGTGAAATGTGTACTTGAATATGAGTATTAGAATTATAATTAAATGCATGAATATTAATTAAATGGATGTGAATGTTAATTAATTGATAATTAATAACATGGACGTGTGAATGTGAATGTGATTGTTAATTAATTATGATATTTATTACATTTTGTAAATTAAATACATATTAAAAAATGAAAAATAAGTTATTATTGAAATAATTGAATTACATTAGAACTATAATCGTTCAAAAAATGTTTCTCACTTGACGTGAAAAATGATTCTCACTTTATATGATATTTATATTTAATATATTATAGATTAATAAATGCTCCATTTCGGCTTGGAAAAAACGAGTCTAGTGGAAAAGGGTTGAAAAGGGAAGACCAATCTCTGCTTGGAGAATCCCAATAATATATCACTTTCTTGAAAGAATGGCTAGTTTTTCCTCCTCAAAAGTGGAAAAGGATAAGAACAACTTTAATTTAGGAAACAAAAGTATGTTTTAATCCAAGTGTTGAGACTTAAATATTTCAGTGGCCACTAAACTTTACACTTCGCCACGATTTACCCATCTAATTTCATGAAACTTTTCAATGGTTATTGAACTTAGTTCCGTTGCACTAAAATTGTCATTAAATGGATTTTGTATATTTCCATGCCTATGTGAAAGACGGAATAATGACGTGGTAGTTAAAATTGTCCATATGTTAAGAAACTTGAACATGTGGATGCCAACTCATCCAAACAAAATTGTACACTAAAATGTGCAAGTTTCTTAACATGTGGAAAATTTTAACTGCCGCGTCACTATTTTGTCTTTCACGTAGACACAACCGTAGATAGAATCCATCCGATGACCATTTTAGTGCAATGAACTTAAGTTCAGTAGCCATTGAGAAGCTTCGAGAAGTTGGAAGGGTAAGCCTTAACGAGGTATAAAGTTCAGTGGCCAATNGTGCAATGAACTTAAGTTCAGTTGCCATTGAGAAGCTTCGAGAAGTTGGCAGGGTAAGCCTTAACGAGGTATAAAGTTCAGTGGCCAATGAAATATTTAATTCAAGTGTTGATTACAACTTCTTGTAACCTTTATTCTCTCCACTTTCTCCAACCTAAATGAGACTTCTCAATCGTCACACTTTTTCATGCTTTCTTTCGAAAACTAGTCACAACATCTTTGTCGAGAAAATTTAACTAGTATGCCATCCTCTGCATACCGTCTTTGACATTCGAGGAATCGATATCCGTGCTCAGATTGCAAAAGTTTTTTCTTTCTTTTTTTTTTTTTGGGGCCAATTTTTCATGTCCCGGCATTGGATGCAAATGTTACTGGTTTGTGAGCTATGGAAAAAGATATTTGGTGATTATCGGACCCTCCAAATTATCATGAAGTATCATTGTGTCAAGAGCGTTCCTTCATCCAATTGAAATTCAACAAAGGACATATTCGACTTCATTGAAAAAGCCACGAATTGATGGGATATTTCATTCCTTTGCTGTTACAATGGCCCTGCCACAATACATTATAAAAATTAAACGGATCCCACATAATTGGTAGAAAAAATCGCTTCTTGAAAAAAAGCGGGACTAGACACGAATTCAATAACAATATTAAATGGGACGATTTAAGTTATTATCACACGTTTTTCATCAATCTAAAATCAATTAAAACATTTTGCTAGAAAAAAATTGACAATTTTGTTGACATCCTCTCACGTCGTAGTGGGATCCACGTGGGACCCATATGAATTAAAAAAAATAAAAAAATTGCCCCCGGCCCCCCCTCTACTATGAGGGGGCTGTCAGGGAGGGACAGCCCAACATCCTTCATCTAAAAATCTTTAGTTTATAAGAATGATACAATATAACTATTAGGTTAAAAACTTGGTTAGTCCCTTNGTGCAATGAACTTAAGTTCAGTTGCTATTGAGAAGCTTCGAGAAGTTGGCAGGGTAAGCCTTAACGAGGTATAAAGTTCAGTGGCCAATGAAATATTTAATTCAAGTGTTGATTACAACTTGTTGTAACCTTCATTCTCTCCACTTTCTCCAACCTAAATGAGACTTCTCAATCGTCACACTTTTTCATGCTTTCTTTCGAAAACTAGTCACAACATCTCCGTCGAGCAAATTTAACTAGTATGCCATCCTCTGCATACCGTCTTTGACATTCGAGGAATCGATATCTGTGCTCAGATTGCAAAAGTTTTTTCTTTCTTTTTTTTTTTTTTGGGCCAATTTTTCATGTCCCGGCATTGGATGCAAATGTTACTGGTTTGTGAGCTATGGAAAAAGATATTTGGTGATTATCGGACCCACCAAATTATCATGAAGTATCATTGTGTCAAGAGCGTTCCTTCATCCAATTGAAATTCAACAAAAGACATATTCGACTTCATTGAAAAAGCCACGAATTGATGGGATATTTCATTCCTTTGCTGTTACAATGGCCCTGCCACAATACATTATAAAAATTAAACGGATCCCACATAATTGATAGAAGAAATCGCTTCTTGAAAAAAAGTGGGACTAGACACGAATTCAATAACAATATTAAATGGGACGATTTAAGCTAT